ATTTCCCATTATGTCCATGTTCACAGGTACTGTGGCTTAGGACTTCACCATACTTTTGGAGGGTAACACAATTCAACCCTAAAAGAGGAGGGGAGACAGCCCCGGAGAAAGTTTTGGGGATGAATGGCCAAAAAGCTGAAGTGTGCAGACACGTTGAGTTCGAGATGCCTACAGGACATCCGCCGAGGAAGAGGCTGAGAAGGCAGCTAAAGATGTTGGCGAGCTGTCAAAGCATACTTCTAAAAAGTTAAAACAGGGCTGGCGCAGTGGCCTCACAGCCTGTAAGTCCTGCATTTTGGGGGTTGAGTGGGCGGATCATGAGGTCAGGATAATCCGAGACCATCCCTGCTTAAACGACGGTGAAACCCCCGTCTGTACTAAAAATACAATAAAAAAAAAAAAAAAAAAAAATTAGCCGGGCGAGGTGGCGGGCGGCCTATAGTCCCAAGCTACTCGGAGGCTGAGGCAGAGAATGGTGGGAAACCGGGAGGGCGGGCTTGCAGTGAGCCGAGATCGAGCGCCCACTGCACTCCAGCCTGGGGCGACAGAGACGACTCCGTCTCAAAAAAAAAAGATTAAAACCATGGACTCATACAACTCTAAAGTGAAGACATGTCAAAGAATTTATTTAAGTAAGTAGGGCGGCCGTGGCTCACGACTGTAATCCCAGCACTTTGGGAGACTAAGACGGGGTGGATCACGAGGTCAGTAGAGATCGAGACCATCCTGGCTAACACGGTGACAACCCCGTCTCTACTAAAAATACAAAATACCAGGGCGTGGTGGCGGGCACCCTGTAAAGTCCCATGCTACCTCGGGAGGCTGAGGCAGGAGAATGGCGTGAACCCGGGAGTGCGGAGCCTGCAGTGACGCCGAGATCAGCGGCCACTGCCACTCCAGTCTGGGGCAAACAGAAGCGAGACTCCGTCTCAAAAAAAAAAAAAAAAAAGATTTATTTAAGTCATTAATGAGGGAACCAGCCACGAATGGTGAAGGCTTGGTTTCAAAATGTTGGAGAGAGGAAAATAATTTGTAGTGACTTAAAAAGAGTTTGAGTAATTCTGATTTTAGATTTTTTTAAAAATTGTTAATGTTCTAACAAGTCAATAAACCACAACTTTTTTCTTTTTTTCTTTTTTTTTTTTTTTTGAGACGGAGTCTCGCCTCTGTCGCCCAGGCTGGGAGGCAGTGGCCGGATCTCGCTCACTGCAAGCTCCGCCTCCCGGTTTTCACGCATTCTCTGCCTCACCTCCGAGTACTGGGACTACAGGCGCCGCCCACCTCGCCCGGCTAGTTTTTTTTGTATTTTTTTTTGTAGTTTAGATGATGGGGTTTCACGTGTTCAGCCAGGATGGTCTCGATCTCCTGACCCTCGTGATCCCCCGTCCTCCTCCCAAAGTGCCGGGATTACACGGCTTGAAGCCCAACCGCGCCCGGCCCTATTTCTTTTTTTTGAGACGAGTCTTGCTCTGTCACCCAGGCTGGAGTGCAATGGTGTGATCTTGCTCCATTGCCAACCCTCCACCTCCCAGGGTTTCAAACGCGCAATTCTCTGCCTCAGTTCTCCCTGAGTAGCTT